TTTTTACTTCATATGCCAAGTGTACGGGAAGATGCTCAATGGAGTAGAAAAAACTAGGTGAGAAAATACGCTCTAATTCATACAGGATTATTGGTATATCTTTCTCAAGATGCATCATTTCTTCAACCTTAATCATAGTAGATGTCAATTCCTTAAAGAATAAGCTAAGCTCGCTTAGTGATTCTATACATTTGGTGGTAACATGTCACGAAATGCGACAGTATTTACTTTTGCATAAATACATGACATTCATGACTTTTCATGTCATGTAATTTAAGGTTATTCATATTGACACACCTTGCCAAGTTAGAGACATATCTATCTAGAAACTTGAGTTGTTTAATCCATTCTAGTAATTGTATTTTTGGTTGTTTGTCTAGAGTGTAACAAGCTTTTGGGTATTTTGTAGAGTTTTCATTTATTTCTAATTCGGGCCGTTGACAATATAGCTTTAAGTCTTCTTTATAATTTACATTGTCTTTTGTTTTTCTTCACATATTCATAATTGTATTAAACACATTGTTGAATATATTTTTTTCAATGTGCATCACATCCAAATTATGCCGAATTAGATTAGAACTCCAATAAGGTAGATCTTAGAATATACTATGTTTTTTTCCAATCACAATATTTAGATACATTATTGTTATACTCATCAAATCCCTCTTCCGTTACTTTCAATAACCCCCAATGGTTTAATTCTTGTAAAATTTCTATTCCGGACTTGATCGAAGGAGCAATGTCCGTAACAACTCAATTTCACTTGAACGTGTTCTCGTTTCGCTCGAAAGGATGGCTTAGTGGGAGAAACTTTCAATGGCAATCAAACCATGAAGTTTTTCTACCATTAGGGAGGTTGAAAGCATCAAAATTTTCTATAAAATATGAGCATCCTATTTTACCAGCAGTACTCCAACCCGATAACATTGAATATTCAGAAAAATTATTAATTGTCCACATGATAATAGCTCTCATCTAAAAATTATCTTTACGGAACACATCATAAGTAAGAGTATCTACTTTTTATAATTCAAACAACTCTTTAATTAAGAGTTGTAAGTATACATCTAGATTGACTTTAGGTTTTTTAGGACTCGGTACAATTACGGTTAAAATAATATATTTTTGTTTCATACACTTTCATGATGACAAATTGTAAGGCGTTATAATCACGAGCCACGAAGAATATTGTTGTCTAGATTTACCAAAAGGTCGAAACCCATCGGTGCAAACACTTAATCTAACATTCCTAATTTCGATGTAAAAGAAGAATGTGTTTGATCAAAATGTCTTCATGCGAAGGAGTTTAAACAATGACGCATGATGTCCGGCTCATAAACATGTTGCGCATGCCACGTCATGTCGTCGGCGGTGCGTTCAATGCATACATCCTTTGTAATCGTGGGGTTATCGAAAAATAATACATCTTTTTATAGGGATATATGTTTCTCTAATCAACCACTCGCCTATGGTTTCAATATCGAGGATGATCACATATTTTACACGTGATTCTCTCATTGTCTTCACCCCAATAAATCATACAACCATTGATGCAACCGTAGATCTTTTCAACTGGTAAACCCATCATTTTCATCATTTTTTTTTGTACTCGTTAAATTCTTCTAGCATTCAGTTATCGGGAGGCATCAACTCTTTCATAAGTTGACATAAGTCGTTATAAAACCTCTCCGAGAAATGATGCTCGGACTTAAGATGTAACAAACGAGACATTGTTGATAACCGTGAATGGTTTTCCGAATCGGGCCATATTTCTCTATTCGATACATCTAATAATTGTAAAACGCTTATACAACGGGGTTTGGGTCTTCTTCCGTATTAGACGGATTAAATAATGGACCAACTCGTATCCATCATCATTGTGTGGTATCGATTGACTTAATGATCATCAAATATTTGTTCTTGTTGAACATAATTAAATGAATCGTCGTAAATGACCGAATCATTCTCTCAATGACGTCTCCACACATAATACCTAGACACAAACCCATATCTCAGCAAATGATAAGTAACGGTATTAGATTTTTCGTAACTATGATTTTGATATTTTCTTAGTTTACATTGATATCGTATCTTATTTCCATCCATGCACTCTAAATGACTAACCGTAAAATTAATAAATTTATTAATCTCTTCTACGAAACGATCATTTAATAGTCCATTAGTTAATCTAAAGTTAATTCAAGAATGATACGAATTCATTTTAAATAAAATAATTTTTTAATTACTAATTAAATTTTTAATTACTAAAATTTTTATTATTATTAAATCTAAATTCAAAAAATATATATTAATTTTTTAAATACTACTTATTTTTTTAATTACTAAACATTTAAAATATTCTACTGAATATAATTACAAAAAAACTTAATTTCTTTATTCTTAATTAATATTCTAATTACTTAACTACCGAACTTAATGAACAACTAAATAAGCTTAATTACTAATAAATTTTAAAATTAATAAATAAATAAATATTATAATTTAATTAATATTTAATTTATTAAATAATTTTGTAATTACTTCACACCTTAACTTAACGAACCACTAAATAAGCTTAATCACTTATTAATTTTTTAATTACGTACTAAATCTAAATTCAACAAGTATATATTAATTTTTTAAATACTAATTATCTTTTTAATGAGTAAACATTTAAAATATTTCTAATAAATTATTTTTTTCTATTGAATATAATTTTGAAAAAACTTAATTTTTTTATTCTTAATTAATATTCTAATTACTTAACTATTGAATTTAATGAACAACTAAATAAGTTTAATTACTAGTAAATTTTAAAATTACTAAATAAATATCTATTACAATTTAATTAATATTTAATTTATTAATTAATTTTGTAACTACTTAACGACTTAACTTAATGAACCACTAAATAAGCTTAATCACTTATTAATTTTTTAATTACGTACTAAATCTAAATTCTACAAGTATATATTAATTTTTTAAATACTACTTATTTTTTTAATGACTAAACATTTAAAATATTTCAAATAACTTAATTTTTTTCTACTGAATATAATTTTGAAAAAACTAATTTTTTTTATTCTTAATTAATATTCTAATTACTTAACTATTTAACTTAATGAACAACTAAATAAACTTAATTACTAATAAATTTTAAAATTAATAAATATATATATATATATATTACAATTTAATTAATATTTAATTTATTAGTTAATTTTTTAATTACTTAACACCTTAACTTAATGAACCACTAAAAAAACTTAATCACTTATTAATTTTTTAATCACTTAATCACAATAAGTTAACTAAATTAGCAATTTCCAATTACACTAATAACAATAAAAATTAAATTAACAACAAAAAATAATAACAATTTAATTTTCTAAATAATAGAATTAACAATTAAACTAAGTAAATTAACAATTAACAATAAAATTAGTTAAATGAACAATTAAAAATAACAATAACAATAAAATTAACATCTATATAAACTTACAATTAACAATAAGTTATAACAATTAAAAGAACTAAATTAATAATTAATAATAATATTAATTAAATCAATAATTAACAATAATATTAACAAAAAATTAACAATTAAACATTTTAACTATCACAATTAACACAAATTAATACCAATTAATTTTTTTAACAAAGTACAATAATATTAATTAAATTATCAATTAATTAAAAAAATGCAATTAACAATAATAATTAATTAAATTAACAAATTAACAATATTTAAATTATATTAATTAACTAAATAATTGAAAAAAATACAAAAATAAAATGAGGGGTTAGATGTGGGAGGACCTTTCACCAATAGAAGGAGAAGAGGGGGTTGCGCCGGTGGAAGGACTTCACTGGAGTGTCTAGTTGGAAAACAATCGATGGAGGAAGAGAAGAGAAAGAACAAAAAAAAGAGGAAAAGAGGGAAGAAAGGGGGAGAGATGGAGGGGAGAAATGGAAGGAGGAAAGAGAGGAGAAGATTGAAAGGAAAATAAGGGAGAGGCGGAAGATTTTATGGATGATTTGGGCGGATTGAGCTGGAGCCGAAGGAGAAGAAAAGAGCTGGAGAGAGAAAATCGGTTGGGGAAAATTTTCGGATGGGATAGCTTTTAAAGATTAATGGTTAGCGACTGTCCGTAGGATTGTCGCTAAACCCATCGCTAATTGTCGGTTTTACTTTTAAATTTTCAAAAATTAGCCGTTTTCCACCAACGGTTTGATTTCGACGACGATCTACTAGACCGTAGCTAATTTGATATTTTGCAACGATTTTTTTTTGGAATAAACTCGTTGCAAAAATTGGTTTTAAAATATTTTCTTTTTTGATTTTTTATTTCAAGCAACAGGTTAGCGACGGTCTATAGACCGTTGTTAATTGTAGTATTTTGCAACGGTTTTTTTGCAAAAAAACAGCTTGCAAATCTTGGTTTTTAATTTTTTTTGTTTTGTGATTTTAGCTATGGTTTAGTGACGGTCCAAACACGTTCGTTAATCCGAAAATTTTGCAACGGTTTTTTGAAAAAAAAACCATTGCAAATTATGGTTTTTGGTTTTTTTTTAAATATAATTTGTTTTGCAACAGTATTAGCGACGGACCTATGGACCATCGCTAAGCCGAATATTTGCAATGGTTTTTTTTTCAGAAAAGCCATCGCAAATACGATCCAGATGTAAAAAAATTGAAACACAAGAATTTAGCGACGGTTTGATTAGACCGTTGTAAAAAACGGTCATTTTGATGAATTTTAGTAACGGTTTTTGGACTCTCGTTAAATTGCTTAAAACCGTTGCAAATTTTGAAAATTAGCGACGGTTTTATGACCGTCACTAATTTTCTGTTTCTGTTGCAAACTCATCTTTTTGTCCTTTGATGGTTTTATTTCCTGCTTGCCAGAAAGCTCATTGACAAAGATCACAATTGCTCTTCTTCTTCTTGTTCTTGTTCTTCTTCTTCTTATCCGCGTAATAATCGACGCTGTTTGTCCATGTCTCCTCAGCAGCAGCAGAAGCGCAGCCCCATCACACCCACACGGCTTATGATCACTTCTCCTACTCATAGTGCTAATTTAACCTCAATCACTCCCACCCGGCTCATGATGAATTCTCCATGTACTTACTCAAACCCTCATCCCTTTTTCTCTACTCATTTCGAAATGAAAAAACAACACTTTAGAAATGTTGGAAAATAATAATGTGCTTAATTTGTGTTTTGATCAACTGATGTTTTCTTTCCGAATGATAATAGGTGATTTTGGTGTTCAGTCTCCAAATCCCATGCAGCAGCAGCAGCTTCGAGGTTTTAGCATGTGGCCACACACAGCTAATAGGTCAACAATCAGTCCACAGCCAGTGGCTTTAGGGGAACTTGAATTTAGAAAAGCTTTTATCATTTTGAGCTACATTGGAGGGTCAGTATTTCCTTAGTGTTTCTTTCTTTCTTTCTGTTTTTTTCTTTTTTTGCTGCTTGAGAAATTCAAAATTGATAAGGTTTTCTATTTTTTTTTTTTTTTAATTGAGCAGAAGGAGTGTAGAGCAATTTCTATCTGCTGATCAAATTCGAGGGTTTAAGGATCCGACAATGGGAGTATTTGAGCAAGAAATTTGGGAAGCCTTTGGGTTTGAATGTGGTTACATAAAGCAAAAAGACCTTATCGAGGTAAATGTGTTATAAACTACTCAGATTTTATTCTTTGCCACGTGTGTCATTTTGAAGTATGTAGTGAATGTAGACATGTAATGTAAATAACTGTGTGGCAACATTAATTCATCATTTATTATTATTATTATTATTATTCTCTTTTGCATCTTGCAGCGCTGGGATTGCGAAAAAACTCATATTTATGTTTGTCATGTTAATCCAGATGGAAGTTACAGGCTCAGGGTTTGTATTTCTCCTTAATCACATTCATGGATACTAGAAGAAATTCTCTATTGAGGACAAATGTGTTCTCAAATCTATGGATTCTCGTGAAAGTGAACATTAATCTGTACAATTGAGGGTGTAACTTTTTTAACATATCTTAATCATTATTGCAAATTATTAGTTGAATTGTGTGCTATCTAGTCGTATGCAATTTCTTTGAAGTTGGACATGTATCACTTCTTTATATTTCAGACATTGGTAACTCGAATTGTGCTCATAGCCTAGAGTTTCCTATACGTTTTTGTTATGTAGAGTTATATCTTCATGTTGCTATTGCTTACAGAAAAGAACTACTTATCCTTGTTCTCAACAAAGAAACACTAAACCCAGTATGAGTTTATTTCAGGGACCTAATCTAACCACGAAGCAGAACTTTCTTCAAAGGACGTTAGGAGATGATAATATCTTACTGGTTACGTTTGAAGAGGAGGTTACTGATGAAAGAGCTCCGGCGACGAATTCTGGTGATCATTATTCTCTCAAGTACAGAACGATTCTTAAAGAAGGGATTCTTGTTGGTCTGCGTCGTTACTGCTTTTTTGGTGAGTATAGGATGCTTTTCATGTTATGAATCCTGCATTTTGGATCTTGCATGTTCCTTCATAGTTGTTCCAGCTTACTTTGAACAGCCATGGGTTTTTTTTTTTTTTTTTTTTTTTTTGATGTTCACATTAATGGCATTATTTTTATTCGTCATACATAGTAAATGCATAAGCATATTAGGTGTGCCTATCCTTGATGTAGCTCTCTTCTGTTTTTATACCAACTAAAGACTAGCTAATTTGCTGGCTTGACAGCTTTATTTCCCTGTAGAAGACAATTGTCGTTGTAAAGAAACATGTTTGGAGTGAGAAATTATTTTTTAATTATTCTAGTTAAATTTTAGCTTTCCCTTGTTCTCACTTCTCTTTTTCTTTTGGTGTAAAATGCTACGTGTGCAAGTGAATTACTCCTTTTTCTTGTTCAATGTAAAGACAGTATTTCCTTTTTACTGTGACCTGTATATGATGCATTGCAACAACTTACGTCTTTGACAATTCATAATGTATGGGCATGATAGCTTATTTACACATTCATGGTTATGTATAGTGGAAAAAAGATTATCGTCTGCCTTTTATATTCAATTCTGCACGCAAGGATTGCATTTTTGTCTGCTTACCTTTTGGAAATGAATTTGAGCATGATTACGAGTTGTAGCTAAGTTTTACTCCAAAGAACCAATATTCAGGTATTAATTGCTAATTATGTTATGTTGCTACTGCAGGTGAGACATATATCTGGTCTTTTGAATGTCTTGTTTGTTTCTCGGTGTTTCTAAGCATTCTATATAATTTTATTTTAACTCAATATGGTTTTTGAGCAGTGTTTATTTAAGGCTGGAAGCAAGAAGAAAGTGAAATGTTTTTTCATCGGCATGGACACAGATGCATCAATTAACGAACAAGATTATGTTTTGTGTGGGAAGACAGTTCGTCAAGCTAGAGCTCTCTTTATGCATGTAGACAATTTGTCTAGTTTGTCCAAATATATGGCTCGGTCAGCAATACTAACTTATCCCCCATTCCTACCCGAGAACTAACCATATTTAAGATGTTTGTGTGGAAGTATGATTTACTGGTGGCCATTCAGGTTTTCACTCATTTTGTCAAAGACTTTGAATGTAGAAGTTGATTTATCTTCTGTAGTCATTGAGACAATATCCAATGTAGAATGCCAGGTATGGTGTATAATTAATCTCTCCCTCTTTTTTTTTTTTTTTTTAATTAAAAAAAATCATGCTTGGTGTGTGCTAGATATGTGTAGAAATTCAATAACTATGAATTGTTTCTCTACTAATATGAGGCTCATTTGTGTTCCAATTGCAGGATGAAGATGGTAATGTTGTTTATGATAAAGATGGGAAAGCTCGTATACATAAAGATGGAACTGGGTTCATCTCGTTGGATTTGGCTTTGAAATGCCCAAAAAATGTGTTCAAAGGCAACTGTAAAAATGCTTCAATTGTCGAGGTTTGTGGTTTATGGCCCACGGGCTTGGTTTGCCTATAAATATCAAATCAACTTTACATTGGAATATAATAATGCTTGGTATTTTTTTTGTCCCAGAGTAATTTATTGATCATATTTTTATGCTTATTGATTCTTTATTCTCTGTACTTTTTATTGTTTTTATTGTGTATGGTTGCCCACTTCAAGTTAGACAATCATCCACTGATAAATCCATGTTTGAACTACAAGAGAAGAAATATATAAACAAAACGCTGGAGTCAAAATAAATGGATAGTTTTGCTCTTAATATTTCCACAGACTATTTGGTATTGAATCTTGTTTCTACGGGCATAAAATATCCTTTTCTTTTTGCCTTGTATGTAAGTTGCTTTGGATTTGGATGTTAACATATTCTTGTTCATGTTGTGCTAATATTACCACGTGCAAGCGCTATCTCATTCCCGAGGTTTACATTTCTGTGTTTGCCTTGTCCTGCTTTTATTTCATCTGTCTTGTTTCTGTTACTGCAGCTGATCCTCTCTTTTTCTTATTTTTCTTTCTTTCAAGGAGTTTGTAATTTATGGCTGGAGTATCGTACTTTCTTTTGTGCCCTTGGTCTGTATATATGACTCATTTCTTGATCAATGTGTGTTTTTCAACATGGCTAGAGATTGTTCAACGAGAGAGATCTGGAATCTCGTCAGGGGGAACCGGTATGTGTCTGTTAGTGTAATGGCGGTTTCTTTGCTCTTTAAACTCCTAGTTTGCATATTTCTGTATTTGAGGGCTTGAATCAGTTACCTTTCTGTTTGCTTTTTCAAGCCCTTGCTGATCCAGTTTCGCCTATTTGAACACGGCAGAGCTGTTAAAGGAACTTTCCTTGTGAACAAGAAGGTATAGCTCTTGACATTTTTGGTTATACTATAATAATGATGTGTTGATTTTCTGTTCTCCTATGTTTATGATTCAATAAGCCACGTGGTCCCAATGATAATTTAATATTTTAGATAATTTGTCATGCAAAAATGGGGTGAAACTGTGTTAATCATAAAAAGGATAACCTATGAAGATTACAAACTATCTCATTCTTCTTTCCAGAACAGCCTGTCTTGAGTAAAATCGTCAGGATTAATGAGTGGGAATGCCGTTAGGTGGAAGGATTTAAGGCTAGACCAAAACAGAACTGACAAGACTAAAGTCGATGCAATTAGTTGAATATCATGCAAGTAAGCTTCCCATTTTGGAAAAATTGTTAAATTCTTAATGGTATTGTCATTTTGCTGTTTCTAATAGAATTTTTCTTCCTTTCCACTCCTATTATCTCCTTGCATTTTTCGGTCTAAAACTTAATAGAGCCATATCTGCATATGCAGTGTAGGTTGATATTATCTTTGAATTGAAACTGCTAGACCCTTAAGAGACGTTCTTCTGTGAGCAAAACTGAGATAACTGTTCATTGGCATAATGACAGATTACTAACAAGCATCTTACTTCAAGATGAATGTTAAAATCCAGCATTTGATGGTTATTGGAGAACCTGATGTTGCCTCTGATAGTTATTCTTTTGTTAATTACATTGATGATCCTCTACGTGTTTCTGATGCTTCTACAAATGTCAATTGCAATTTTCATGTTTTCTAGCTTCGTCATCAAACCATTCATGTCTGGCCATCGATGATAAAAGTTGAGAAAGATCCAAAACTATTAAATAGTTTCTCAATAAATTCATTGGAGGCCTGTGGAACCAGGTTAGTTACCACTCTTTTTATTTCAAAATTGTTTCCACCTTGCCTGAATGTTGTCTACACTTGATGTCAAATTCATTTGTTGTTGGAACCATGTAAGTATACCATTGAGCTTATTTCAATATTATTTCTACCTTATATGCTCTCTATATGGTTGATGTCAAATAAGTTTTGCAGAGAGTGGTCCACTTGGTAACTACTTTCTCTATGATTTACATTTGTCCTACGCTGAAAGCACCTAATGTTGGCTGGCTTGTAACTGAAAAGAAAAGTTCTATAATGACAAATAGAAATTTTATTGTGCATATAAAAACTGGTATCCTATTTGGTAGCTGGTGAGTTTTTCAGAAATAAATTGGAGAGGATTCTGCCTGCAAGTTTGAATATCTTGGCAGCATTATGATGTATTTGGTAATTACTTCCCTGTGATGGATTTAGATAAAATGATGTCAACTTTCTCAGAGGAAATCAGAGTTTCTTTGTTTTCTATCATAAAGAAAACTATGATAACATTTCTAACTTTTTATCTCCCAGTAATAAGCCAAAGAAAGCCCATCTCTCAAAGAATTTAATCGCACTTCTTAGCTATGGCGGGGTTCCAGCAGAGTTTTTGATGGGATTATTGGATGATGCTTTGGGCAATTCATACCGCGTCCTCTCGGATCCACTTGCAGCTCTGCGAGGTAGTTTTTTCCATAAATTGTTGCTTAGGATCTTTTTTTTAACAATTTGGATTGTCAGTAGTGCCATTGTTTTCATATCCAGAAATTGTTTTTTGCTTATTTGTAAGTACCTATTTACCTGGTTTTCACTCTTTATGATTTCCCTTGATCTTCATGGACAGTGATTTACACAAATATCCTGCTCTTCCACATTTAATCATTTGTTTTTCTCTTTTCCCAATGTTTCCAGCTGCTATTAAGTAAATATTGACAGTTTTTTTGCGTTACATGCAGTTGCACTTAACTACGGGGAGATGGATAATAACTTAGTCACAGAAATTATTTTAACTGGGATTCCCCTAGAAGAATCCTATTTGCAACATCGTCTGTCTTCATGGATGAAGGAAGAAACGAAAAGCCTGAAAGGGTTTAAGATACCTGTTCCTGAATCATATTATTTGATGGGGACAGTTGATCCCACTGGACTCTTGAAGAGAGATGAAGTTTGCGTAATCCTGTATGTTATTGGCATATTTATTTTTTCAATATGTAGTCCAAAGACTAATTATGATTGAAAAAAATGAATTAGGATATAATAAATGAATCCATGCTTTGATGAATTTAGCTGGTGGCACTCAAAGGGCATAAGCTTTTTCCCATTCATGGAAAATTGGTTATGTTATGTCATTTCATCTACTGTTGATGCATAACTTTTTTCCCGTTTCGATGACAATGGAAATTGCTATTTTTGGATTGAATAGTAAACCAGTTATGGTATCGTCTATGTATTTATGATGCATTCTTTCTTGATGGACACACAGGGATAATGGGCATGTTTCAGGAGAGGTGCTAGTGTACCGAAATCCAGGTTCACATTTTGGAGATATACATGTTCTAAAGGCTACATATGTAAAACCACTGTTAGATTTTGTTGGATATGCCAAGTTTGCTATATTCTTTCCATGCAAAGGACCACGGTCTTTGGCAGATGAAATGGCAGAAGGGGACTTTGACGGAGACATGTTTTTTGTGTCAATAAATCGTCAGGTCAGTGTTTATTTGCCATGGAATCTAGTTGAGAGTTCCTTTATCTGCATATATAATGTTTAGAAGTTAGCATATTTGAAGAATATCCCTTCGATTGTTGATTACGTGTTATGATGGCTATATTTGCTACTTGTTTTTTCAAAGGAAATTTGTTGTCTGGTGTTTTTCTTTAGTCAGGTTGTTTGAACCGTTTTCTTATTTCCATTTCTGTTGGAATAGAAAATATTCTATTTAGAATATTCTGAGTGTATTTTAGGATGTAAATATAAGAATTTAAGGCTCTAATCAAGGAGTTTAGAAAGATGTATAACTTTAATTTCCTAGTTTATAATTTCTTAGTTTAGATGTTATATGTAACTATATATATATAAGTTGTAATACAGTATGGTAACAGCAACACAATTAATATTTTCTCGCTTCATATTAATTCACATGATATCAAAGCTGGTCTATTTTCTCTAAACAAAAAACCTTAGCCGTCAACCATTCTAATTTATTTTCTTCCTCATCACCATGTCTAAAATTACATCGGATTCTATATCCACTCTTGCCCATCCATCTACTTTTTACAAAACCAAAGATTCCTTGTGCTAGTCTCTATCTCGTGCACATGTACATCCGCGACGGAAAAGATTGGGTATTTGACTGGTGAGAAGAATAAAACAAACTTGGATGATCCGGCTTATCCGAGTTTGGGATGTAGAGAACTTCATGCTCAAATCCAATTCTTGATTATCTAGTATTCCTAATGCTTCTTTGGCACAAACGAGTAGTGATTTAAATGACTTAGTATGTTACTCTTTATCACAATCCGCTCCATGAATCATTGATTCTGGAGCATTTGACCATATGACAAGTTTTTCAAATTTGTTTCATACTTATGTTCCTTGTTCGAGTCATGAAAAAATTCGTATAGCGAGATAGGTCTTACTCACCTATTGCTGGCAAAGATTCGATTATTTTGTCGGATACTTTATCCCTTAAATCCGTTCTACATGTATCAAAACTTGCATGTAATCTTTTATCCGTCAACAAATTATCAAAAGATTCTAATTGTAGTGTCACTTTCTTTGATTCCTATTGTGTGTTTTAGGATCAAAATTCGAGGAAAAAGATTAACAATGCTACAATGATCAATGGTCTTTACTATTTTGAAGATGAAGTCTCCAAAGATAAAAGACCTCAAGGACTAAGTAGTATCGGTTCTATCCCTGGTAAAAATAAAATAATGCTCCGGAACTATAGACTAGGGCATCCTAATTTTCTTTATCTTTAAAAATTGTTTCCTACCTTATTTAAAGGCTTGGATAGTTCTCTTTTTCAATGTGAATATTGCATTTTGTCAAAAAGCCATAAAAATATTTATCCTTCAAAACCTTATCAACCTTCACAACCATTTTATTTAATTCATAGTGATGTATGAGGTCCTTCACAAATCTCTACTTATTCGAGCAAAAAATGATTTGTATAATCATACTAGGTTGTGTTAGGTATATTTACTAGCTGATAAATGCGAAGTTAAGATAATGTTCCAAAATTTTTATAACATGATTGAAACTCAATTTCAAACTAAAATTGGTATTTTTACATACCGATAATGGTACCGAGTATTTCAATGAAATTCTTAGAAATTTTTTTAAAGATAAAGGCATTCATCATCAATCCACTTGTGTTGATACCCCTCAGCAAAATGGTATAGCTAAGTAAAAAAAATCGACAATTATTGAAAGTTGCTCGGTCTCTTATGTTTTCTATGCATATCCCTAAGTATCTTTAGGGAGAAGCAGTTTTAACGGCAACATATTTGATAAACGGAATGCCTACTCGTGTACTGAAATTCATTACTCCTCTTGAGTGCTTTAAAAATCTCTTTCCCGAAAATCGAATTTCATCCAATTTACCCCTAAAAATATTTGGATGCACAGACTTATGTTCATTTACCCAATAAGGATCGGTCCAAGCTTGATCCAAGGGCTGAAAAATATGTTTTTATTGGCTATGCGTCAAATCAAAAGGGATATAAGTGTTTTCATCCAAAGACTTGGAAAGTCCTAGTTACTATGAATGTTTTATTTCTTGAAAATCAGCTTTATTTTCAAAAGACTTTTCTTCGGGGGAGAGTTTAGAGTAAGAAAATAGTTGGGACAACATACATATTTTTACTACTTTACCTCAAACAGTGGCCTTTGCACCTAGTGTTTTCGAAAATGACAAAGCAATTTTTACCGATAAGAATACTGTTTCACCGGACATTGTTGAATCTTTGACAAGGAGAGAAATACTGCAAAATAATCCTAAGGATCGGGAACCCGAGGTCATTGTTTATGCAAGGAGAAAGAAACATCAAAAGGGTAAAAAAACATATCATTCCTTCGACACCTAGTCAATCTATTACCTCGGATTCGAGTACTCAAAACACTTCTCAAAATACTAATCCTTCTATTTCACCTCCTGTTTTACCCAATGTTGTTTCTCATGAATATTGTGATCTTGATGTTCCTATTGCACTTAGAAAAAGAACTCGTTCTTGCACTAATCACCCAATTGCAAAATATCTATCCTATAACCGTCTCTCTCAAAACCATAAGGCATTTACTTCGAAAATCTCTAGCCTATTTGTTTCAAGAAACATTCGGGAAGCACTCAATGATCCAAATTGGAGAACGAGTTGTGATGGAGGAAATAAATGCACTAAAGAAAATGGAATATGAAAAATTGTAGAGCTGCCTAGAGGTCAAAAAATAGTTGGGTGTAAATGAGTATTTACCGTGAAATGCAAGGCGAGATGAGAGTGTAGAAAGATATAAGGCTAGAATTATGGCTAAGGAATTTACTCAAACAAATGGTGTTGATTATCGTGAAATCTTTGCTCCAATAGCCAAAATTAACTCTATACGGCATTTTATTGTCTCTTGTAGTTAATTTCAATTGGATCTTATACCAACTAGATATGAAAAATGCTTTCTTGAATGGTGATTTGGAAGAGGAAGTCTTTATGAGTCCACCTCTTGGTTTTGAAGAGTTTATTAGTCAAAACAAAGTTTGCGGACTTAAGAAGTCATTGTATGGCCTCAAACAATCTCCAAGGGCATGGTTTGAATGGTTTGGGAAGACTTTAAAAGGATATGGGTATCATCAAAGTCGAGCAGACTGGACAACTTAAATAATAAGAAATATGATTTTTTAGAATTGAGGAAACTTAAATAAATAAGAATTTTGTGCATGCGTTGTAGTTTCTAAAATGGAAGCTGGTTATATGTAAATACTGATAATATTTTTTTCCAATAAATATTTTGAGCTCAAGCGATAAGGAAGTCTATTAGGGTCAATGATCTTATGTTTAAGGTTTATGAACCAGAAAAATGTTTTAGCTATGCTTACAAAATCTTTCACTAAGAAAAAGCAAATTATCAATGCTTTTGAAGCTCTAATTAGTCCTTATTGATAGTTTGAATTCAGAATGGTGCATCCTATTTATAAATGCCATGCCTAAGTGTCCATGTTCGATATTGTCCTTTGCTAATTTAAACAAACGTTCACACGTCATGCATTGCACTGTCTCCAATTTTTCTTATGGTATACAATTGACCTCCTGTAAGTGGATTCGTTAACAGAGCATTTCTAATCTGAAATAACTCTTTATCCCTTGCACTCAAAATCAATAGAGAAGACTTCACATTTAATTACTCCATACTTAAATCGTCAGAAGTTTAGTACCTCTCAAATCCTTTTCTTAGTAACCATACATTTGTCAAACCCATGCTACAATTATCTTAGAATTTTACAACTTAACATGATTAAGCAAGTTAGAAATCCTAGCTTCTTAAAATGAATGTAAACTAAATTCATTGAGGTTTCAAGTTCTAATTTAATTGTAAACATTGACGGGTTTTTTCATCTAATGAACCAAGTGGTAAGCCATCCCATCTACATAGCGTTTAATGCTATGCAATCATTTTATTTTCTTGAACAATGAAAGAGAGCACAAACACTATATTTTTTATACCTACGAAATTAGTTGGGTTAGAAATAATAAAAAAAAAGGTCCACCACCATAGCTTATACTACACTAATTATTCAAGCTTCCTAATTTGTGGAGATGTTAAATGTTAGAGGGCCAAATGCAATTTAGTCCTTCAAGAAGACCAAGAAACCTATTGCTAAAGAAGAACTCAATAATTTTTCCTATCAATTAACAGAGGGTACTCAAAGTCAGGGTGAAAGTATAAGGAACTTGCTAGATTAAAAAAACACATGATACTGGAACAAAATAATGTGGGACTCTAGGATCACCAAGCTTATATTTACGTGTCTTGTCTTTTATTAATCCACTCTTTACTACAAATTAATAAACTAACCCTACATTAATTTTTCAACAATTGGAATCAAATTAATAAAAAAAAATTGGAAATTAAATAGAAAAACACAATAAATTTTATCAAAAAAATATTTGAATATGTCCAACTAAGGTAAAAAATAAAAATTTTCTCTTTACTTAGTTATTTTTGAAATAATACTCTTTTATTCCAAATAGATATTGTCATGTTTAACTTTTTCACACATATATTTAATCACTCAATCATTTTAGAACAAACATAAATAAATCTATAGGTTTTGATTTTTGGGGGCAACGTAGGGAATTTTCTTTACAAACTCAAAATCCAAATGTTTTTAGAAACACAAAAACATGCTAAAGAATCTGAAAACAGCTGGACGTTGCAAAGCTTCAACAATAATAAGAATTTGAAAATTTGCTAATTAATTAGTATATGTTAGATTCAATTATCTCGCTAGAATTGGTAAGGATTTTATCCTGAGAACTCGACCCTTTTTCCAGCTATGACCTGGTATAGATTCTTTTGTGAGATTAAAACATATACCGACATAGTTGTCCCAATTCAGCTATGAAATCTAGCAAGTTGGCAACTTAATCCAAGTGCAGCTACCAAGTTCTTTGCAATAGAAACATGTGCATATACGTTTCTAAAATCAAGGAACCAAATAATTGTAAACAGGACAATTATTTTTGGTTCACACATTTCATAATACAGCTTTCTTGCACCCTTTTTTGCAACTTTCTACCATTTATTTGAATGCCCTTGAGCTACCATGATATTTAATCAATCTAACTCAACACAACCATGACCAATGTTTCAACCCAATTCAACCGAAGCAATTAGCAAATAAAAGAAGACAATGAGGAAAATAAAGCGAACAAACACACCTTTCTGAAAGTAAAGGCCAAGTTTTATGATGCACGAACAAAGGACACAGAGAACAGCTACCGAAAATCGAAAACAGGCATAACTAAGAGAGATGAAAAATAGAACGACAATAAATAAGAGAATGAAAAGGAAAATTTAGGCAGCAATGAAGGAACCGCAAAATACCATATCAAGTGAAGTAAAAATAAGAGACAAAAGGAGCCAAACAAATGGTAAAATGCCATTTCCAAACCTAGCGAGAGTAACACATTCAACAATTATAATAATCACAATTATGGATTACAACGCAGCAGACATATAAGCAATTTAATATAAGCACATGTCATTAAAAAAATCCAGTTATTACTTAAAAATTAAAAACCAAAAACATAATAACGGGTGCAAAAAATGAAACAAAGTCTGACTTTACCATAAGATTTTCCGAACAAAAAGAGAGAGAAAAACGATAACAAAACAATAAAAATGAACAGTATGAGTGGGAGAAAGGGGCAAGATAAAAGGAGAGTTTTTGTCCATAATCTGAAAACACAGTTGAAACGGCAACCATCGAACTGTGCAGAAAACAACAATAATAAGAGAAAAGAAAGAATTAAAAAAATGAAACAACACACAGAGAAGAGGAAGAATAGAAGAGCAGGGAAACTTGCAAGTGAGAGAGAGGAAAGACCTCGAACAGTGACGAAAAAGAAGCATAGAAGAAAACAACATGCAGAGAAATAAAGTAATTTATAAAAAACAGAAAAAGACAAATAGGTAGGAAAACAGCAAGTTAGGAACAGACAAATAAAAGCATGTTGAACTGATTATAGCTAACCAACTAAAGAGGAACACTAACCAGAAAACTCATTTTATCACAATAGAAAGAAGCCGCGTGAGAAAGCAATCGAGTCCAAAACTTGGCCAAAGCTATTGTTGACAGTGAAGGAAGCAGAGAAAAACTAATTGTGCAGGAATGGAGGAGCCAATGACAGAGGACAGCCACTCGGTCATAAAAAAAGGAAAATAAAAAACAACTCTAGCCACGGCGCAATGACAGCAGCATAAAACCCAGCCAAGAAACCTAACAAATCTGCCAGCAAGACCCAGAGAAAGATAAGACACCAGCATTTAAAACCCACCCAATGTATGAGATAAAAGTGGGGAGAAAATAATATATAAGAAGTCAATGACGGCTAAAGCAGAAGAGAGGATAAGAAGAGAACAGTTATTTCATCTTTGTGTTGCGCAACAAATATATGAAGGGATTTTTTTCCAGATGGCAAGATATAATTAGAAAACAAAAATTTAAAACTTACTGTACCTTAGGCGTAGATATCTTTTTTCTCCATCTAATGAGAAGGAATTGCCTTGTCAAAACCTTCCACATCACCTATATGATAAAACCCACTAATTAGATGAAGCTTCTCACACATATTATGCTTCTTTTAGTTCTGCACAGACGGAGGAGAAAAAAAAAAAAAGAAGAACAAAGGGCGAAAGAGGGAGAAAGAGACACTAAAAGAGCGAACAACTTAATTAAAAAAACAAAAGAGCAGCTAAATATATATCAATTACTGTAGCATAGCCAGTAAAACATACCATTTCCTATATCGCAAACGATAAATATTTCATGCACTGTAGCGTGAATAGTAAATATTTCAGCAAATATTTGGAGGAAGAAAGGAATGTTAAAAGGAACAACACAAGTGGAGAATGTGATGGGGATGGTGGGCAGAGGTGGCATTTTGTGTTAAAATTGTTGTATGTATTATTTGCTCAAGTGTGAAGGGAATTGCGAAGATTCTAGGTGCTTGTCTTGAGGCTTGGAACACAACAACAACAAGGATCTGAAGGGAAGTCAATTGCATGTTAGAAGAAAACTTCATTTTTGGATCTTGAAATCGACCCAGATGAAGATGTAGATAGCGGTGATCATGAGAAAATCACAAAAGCAAACGTGAACAGAAGCATGTACAAATCCCGTTGGATGAACAGTAATAAATACCAAGTAGTGTAGCATGCACAGTAGAAGTGATTTAGCATGTAGTAGGAAGTCAAATAATGCGGAAAAAATACTGTAGCAGGAACAAGAAAAGGAATAGTGAACTGTGTCTTGTGCTATAGTTTTCTAAACAGTAAAATAGCCTTATGTTTTAGACTTATTGTAATATGATTCTATTATTTACTCAGGATAGTGAAAGGTGGGAGGAAAGATGTTATACGATGTGTCATATAAAAAAAATGATATAATTAATTAATTATTATTAGTTACACTTAACCAGAATCTACCAAAATAATAATAACAATAATATTAAAAAAAAACACTTTTTCGAATTTTTATTGGTTTTTAAGCAATAAAAACATTTTAAATAATTTTATTGATTATAAACTTAGGAAAAGTATCAATAATTTAGTTTTAACAATAAAAAAAATTAGTTACATCTCTTTTTGTCTTCTTATAAATTCATCTTTACAGTTTTTTTTCCGAAAGAATTACTTCTTTTAAAATACCCTTTTAAGAATGAAATTATTAATCTGTTTTTTTTATCAACAATCTATTGGATTGTAATTGCATGCTTGAGTTGAAAATCAGCAACATTCCAAAGTGTATAAAGTTGGTAATTTTAAAAAAATGAAGCGGTTCAAAGAAAATGACTTCGAATTTATAGAAGCACTTGAAAAAAAGAGAATAAAAATAGATTATTGATGAACAAATTAATAATTTCGTTCTAAACGGAGCATAAGAAGTAGGAGAACAATTGAACTCTTCTGTGAAAAAATAAAAATAAAAAGGAAAAAGGTGACCTTTTCTGAAAAAAAAAACGATATAAAACTAACATGCCTTTAACTTATTAAAACTCAACTTACTAATACATTTAAAAAAGAAAAAAGTGCATCATTGACTTGCATAATTTTTTATGCAAAATACTATGTTGAAAACTTGCAGGGTAATTTAAGAGCGTTTGCTATGAGTGAACTATTTGTTTAACTGCAGACTGAAGTGCAGAAAATGAGAGTTGAAATGGCCGCCATGAAGAGGGAGGCTGAGTACTATTCGCATCAGGTATCATATGCAAAATGATCTGAAGGAGTTTGATGAAGTGGAAATGTTACTTTGTCCGAAGAAGATTTTACTGCTGATATACTTTTTCACTTTAGCCTATTGTGACAGATGATTAGCTTATTATGGCATGAGTATCATGTGGCCTAGTATTGGTTTGCATCATTAGTCTAGGAAAACCAAGTTGATTTTGTGCACATTTTCTTAAAGAAATGCAGGGTATGATAAATTTTCAATTTGGCATTTACTCAAGCATCACCTTATACACCTGCCTGTCACAGGAACATATGGAGCTAGAGAAGCACTACCGCGAACTAACTGACCTATTGGTAATGCAGATGCCATATAATATATCCTTTTACTCAATTTTACTACTATTTAATATCTATTTTGTGGCTTCCTGTGTCTGTATCTATTTATGATTCAGTACTACAAGCAAACTCAGTTAGAAGCCATGGCTAGTGAAAAAGCAGCTGCAGAGTTTCAGTTGGAGAAGGAAGTAAAACGTCTTCAAGAAGCACGGGTGTGTCATTATGTGCTTACTGCTGGGTGATTAATAGCAATTATCTACTCTTAGTTCACTTTTCTTATAGCTTGCAGCTCCAACTATCTTTGTTTTGCACATTGAACAGATTGAGGCAGAGAGAAGTAGAGCTTCCCGTCGAACATCTTCATCTTGGGAACAAGACACTGAAATGAAGGAACTAGAGTATGCTATTTGGTTTTTGATTAAATAGATAATTTTGCATGCTTTTCCTAATCCTTTTGGCATTTTATTGAGCACATTTATATGTAATGTTACTCAGTTTTTATGAGCATTGACTTCAATTGAACTTTTCTTTGGTAGAACAAGCTCCATTTACGAACATAGGTGCTCAGTTACTTTTGGGAAATGATCATCTAAGTACCGCAATGAAGCTTTTTGATGCTGTAACGATGGAATTACTGCAGTTGTTAGATTTTGAGAAGAATGCTTTTAAAAGTCTAAATGGGTAGTTGATGGCGCATTATTGGTTGATTTAATATGGAAACTAAATTCTCAGGAAAAAAAAACTATGTACATGTTAAATAACAATATTTGGTTGTTTGGTGGATGTTACATAAATGTTTACTCAACGATGCCAGAGCTTTATTTTGTTGAGTGCAGTATAGTCGCTTCAAATATGAGCAAGCTAAAGGGTTTTATCAGATAAAATGAATGGATGTACAAAGTAGCCCGTACTAACTTTCAATTGCCCTCTTGTTTCAGTTCCTGTTGATCTCACCTTTTTATTAGTTTCAATACCATCTAACCATTGAATTCACTAGCCAACCAAAATGAACTCCTTGGTTGAAGATCTTGCATTTAAGGGTCTGTTTGGCCCTGCTGTGTTTAAAAGCAAAGTTGCTTTTGGCCCAGTTTTTGAGAATATCAGTGTTTCATTAACAGTTTAGCCCTGCAGTGTTTAAAACAAAGTTGATTTCTTTTTTTTTTCCTCCCATTCTTTTCATATTCCCCATTTTCTGTAAGATAGGAAGTTGGACTAATGATAGAAGAGTTGGTTTAGAAACAATTTAGAGGTGCTGTTGGGCTTGTTGATTCATTCAGTTCAACTCTACAATGGCTTGGGATGAGTTGAGTAAATTCCTCTAATGTCAATCCTCAGTTGTATTGGCTGATTTTCCCTCATTTTCTATTCCTGCCTCAGTCTTCAGTTGCTAAATTCCTCTATCAGTGCTCTCTCTGATGCTTTATAAAGTTCATTTCTTGAGTTCTGAATTGGGATGCTGATAAGCAATTGATCAGTTGAACATGGAACACAAATTAATATGGATATCACCACCCATTTGTCCCCTGTATTCTTTTGATTACGATAGATATATGTGCTATTGTCTTTTGCTTTAATGTTGCATCTTCATTCAAATTGAAGTCAATGGCTATTTTAGTAGGCACAAGATTTTTCTCATACAAAGTAACAATTGCAGGCCCCTTCCCTTGTATCACCGTCACATGGTTGGGGCAAGTATACAGGTATACGTTTTTACTTGCAGTTTAATAACCTACTTTCAGTACCGATGTTGGTTTGATTGCATGCTTCAACCACATCATGCAGTTGCAAAAGGCAGCAAAACTATTGGATTCAGGAGCTGCCAGAGCCACAAGATTTTTATGGCGGTATCCAACTGCTAGACTTAGTTTGCTTTTCTATCTGGTGAGAAGAGTTTATTGTGTTCAAAATGTCTAATTAAAGATTCGAGTTATGTGGAAGCATCTAAGTTTTTTGTTGGCCATGAAAATCATTTTCAGGTATTTGTGCATCTTTTCTTGATGTATTTGTTGCATCACCTTCAGGTATGGATATTTGGTCATGTGAACAGTTGTTTTATGTTTATTGAGACATTCTGCTTTGTATAGGAAGTAGGTGATTTTTCTTTTTTTTTCTTTTTTTGATAGAAGATTCTTATTTCTACCTATAAACTATGGGAGCTTTGGATATGCTATGATCAGTTTCTATTCAGTAAAATTTTATTTCTCAATATGCAGGAACAAGCAGACAGTTTTTCTGCTAGAGAAGTTGCTGAATCTATGGGTCTCGCTAACCACACTTTACCATAATTGGTTAGTTGTTCCAGATCAAAGGTCGATGCCATGGAGTTGTCTGATTCCTGGTTTTTCATTTCTGCAAAGGGTGTCTCCATATAATTTACAAGAAAAAGAATGGCTGGCAAATATCCAGTGATTCATTTAGGAATGGAAAAGGAAGCAAAGCTCACTGTCCTCGCCATCTGCTTGGGCATTTTAGGAAATTATTGATCCTGGAGAAAAGGGTATAGGTTAGAATAGCAAATTAGTGTAGATGAAGGCACAAGTTCAAATGTGCACAAATACAGATAAATCATTATCCCCGTGTCTCCCTTATCAGTACAGCGTGCCTAGTGGAGAATGCAGACATAATTCAGAATGAGAGCCACCATGTTGGAGAATCCAAACTTTGCTTCATGGAATTAATATTCTTTTATTTATGATAGGCAATTGCAATCATAATTCAGAATGGACTATCAGTTTTCATTCTGGATTTGTTAAAATCATACCAACTCAACTTAGCTTGTTAATCTGAGCACATTTGTGTTTAATTTGAGACAGATGTTTAATTTCGGTGAGAATAAATTACATCATTTCTACCCATCTGAGATTCATGGTGTGGTGGGCACTTGCTTGGTAATGCAAATTTGGATGCGATGGGCTGACATAGGCTGCACATTGCTAATGCCTATAGCTCCAAGCTCCACTTTGGAGCTTTTTATCTTAATTTTTTAGTTCATGCCCTCTGAATTTTTTTTTTATTATTCATGAGTTGATAATTACAAATAACGAGAATGATGAAATTTGCTTTAAAATAATAATTTGTAGTTTAAATAATGTAAATTGATATAAAGACTTAAAATTACCAAAATATAATATAATAGCATGAGGGTAATTTTGTTGCCATTAAACTTATGAATATATCTATTTTATTAATTACAAAAGTATTATTATTGGAAGTTCAAGACTCTAAGGCTCCAAGCTATGTTGATGTGATGTTAAAAACAAGAGGGAATTAGAAATGGCAATCCAACTCGTCCCAACTCAACCTTCTTTGTTTGAGGTTGGGATGGGTTTTTTTTTTTTTTTTTTGGCTATCCTCACCTCATCCTATTTGGGGTAGGGATGGAGAGCGAAATTTCATCCTGAACGGAACATGGGATAAAAATGGATTTTTTTTTAAGAGACGGAGCGAGGATGGGGATGAAGGTCCCTGCCCAGCCCCATTGCCATCCCTAGAGGGAATCGATGTTGTCCTATTGGGCTAGTGGCATCATCAAGTGGATCAACGACGTGTGATCCAAGGTAAACGTACAAACATGACGTATTGTTCTTGTTGCGCAAAAATTTAAGATTGTCATCTCATTTTTCAAGAGTAAATTATAAATTAGTCTTTTTTTATTTTAAAAAACAATTAATTGATTTTTTATTTCAAAAAATAAATATTTAATCTCATATTTCATTTTTTTAATAATTTATTCTTTTCATTAATTTTTTAATAGATTAATATTTTTTAAAATTATCTTTCTTTTGATATTTTATTTCTATTTTCACCTTTTTTTCTTTTTCCTCAATCAAAAAGAAAAAAAGTAATTTGAGAATAAAAATTACTAGTCTAATAAAAATTTAATTAAAACACTTAATTATTATCGAAATTCAAATGTAAGAAATTAAATAATTAATTTTTAAAAGAAAAGAAACTTATTGATTTGTTGCTATAAATGAGAAGGACTAATTTATAATTTACTCCATGTTTCGATGTCATGAGCTAGAAAAGGCATAAGGTACCCCCTTCTTTTGATTTTTTAAATATTTTTTAACTTTAATTCAAGTACATGAGATGTAATGCCCATTACCAATTAAAATAGAAATGTAATAAAAGTTTAATATTAAAACCATGTGAAAATAAATAAATAAATATTTTTGAGAACGCATTACTAGAAACTTAAAAGAATATTTAGAAGGGTCAAAATAATTTTCCATGCTTAAAGAATATTTTAGTGATTTTTCGATACATGAATAGTAGTTATTGCATGAGAAAATTAATTAAAGCATGTTGTTTGTGTATGAAAAATATTTTTTTTGTTTAGAATAATTTTTAGAAGGGTGTTAGATTATTTTATATTATTTTATGAATTTTTCTACATATGGTGAATATTTCATTGAATTTTCTAAGTGTACGAATAGTGTTTTTAGAGGTAAATAATTTAATTAGGCACCTTAAGAGTATGAGAAATTTTTTTTAAGAGCATAGAATAATCATATAGGATGTGTGAGAGTGCATAGAAAATTTAAATTAATTTTAGTAAGTATAGGGAATATTTTTTATAGGAAATAGTGTAATTTTCACACTAAATAAATAAATTGAAGGCTTAATTACGGGAAAACAATTATGAAAATTTAAATCAAACTCCCTTAATTAATTTTTGAATTTATTATAGAAATAAAATTGTTTTGTGAAAAGTATAGAATGGAATTTCAAAAGAAGGGACTAAATTGCATAAGATTAGGGACTCAATTGCATAAAATTAAAAGTCTAATAATTCAAATTAAATCATGTAAGAATGTTAAGGGTTAACAATTAGTCCTAAAAACTAAAAAGGAAGGATTATAAGTGAGTTTTTGCATAAAAGAGGGACTTAGGAAAGAATGGGCTATGGAAAAGTATAGAAACTTGGAGGACCAAAATTTATCATTTTCCTCCTACATTTGGGTGACCTAGATCATTAATCAAGTCTGACTTCCAGTAAAAATTATGGCCAAAAATAAGCAAGGTGGAAGGGTTAAATAAAAAAGTGAATAAATGGCTAAAAATTGGGACAAATGCAAATGAATGATTGCAAATTGAATTAAGAGCTGATATTTTCTCAACTTAAGGGTGGAGATGATATAAATAATTCCACAAAATTTCATATAAATAGGGGTGCTAAAAAAATAAAAAGGAGAGAAAAAATTAAAAAACACAAACGAAACTCTTACAAAATTTTCACTTAAAAATCACCCAAAACATTTTTGATAAATTCTACCCACCTCTAATCAGTAGAAAAAGCTTTAATTTTAAGTGAGAAGCAGAAAATATTGAGGAAAAAATTTGAAGATCAAATTCAAAAATTTAGAGGAAAAGAGGAGGAAGAGAAATCCTTCACCAATCTACCTTTTTAATTAGAGTCTAATTGGAGCTCAAACAAGTAAGTTAACCTCACCTACACCACAAGCATGCTTAATTTCAAGTTAATTTTATGTTTAATTGCTTGATTTGATTTAATTGCTCAATTAAGAAAAATTAGGGTTAGGATTCTTGATAAACCAAATTTGGGGGTTTTGAATTATTTAATTTAATTGATGTTTTGACACTTTATTCTGAAATATTTGAGCATGAATTAATTTTTAGGAATGAAAATTTTACTTTAATTGAAGAAAAATCCACTAATTTTTAGGAATTATATTCGGCCTAAACTAAGCAAATTAGGGTTTGAGTTCAAAGCAATTTAATTCTGTTTTGATGGGTTATTCACACTTGAATAAGCATATTTTGATGAGTAGAAATGGAAAATTTGATAAAAATTGAAGAAAATGGGTTATATGGGCTTGGGCCCAATTTCGGCCCAATACGGGTTTGGACCAGATTTTGAGTCCCAAATTTCAATTAAATTAATTCCTATAGTTTTTACATATCTAGGCTACTTCATGTTAAAATAGTGGGACACAATGAGGAGAAAATGTTAGGATTTTAAAGAGGTCAAGTTTAGGGCTAAATGGAAATTTTTGAGAATTAGGTTTAAACTAAGTTTTAAACCTTAAATTTGATGATTCAGACTCAAAACACAGTAAAATGATGGTTTAGAATGAAAAGGGCTCATAAAAGTTTGAAGAAAAATTAGGTTAGAAAAAATTGGGCCTTAGGCCCATTAAGGCCCAAACCAAAATTGAACCTCCTAAATCAATGAAATAATACCTAGTTAGGTTAAAACATGAAGTGATACTTAATTTGGTAAAGACCAAATATGAAAAAATAATTAAGAACCTAAGGAAACGAATTTATGAAAGTAAAGTGAAAGGTAAGTTTAATGAACAAACAAATGGAACAAAAATATTAATCTTTCTTTATGTTATGGTTATGTTCTTTTAAATGCTATATGAAGGCATTATGTTATAAATAATGGTCATGCTTGAATGTGATTGATGATGAGAATTGGGTTATGATGATTGATGTGCCAATGATAGCTATGTTGGTTTATATTGGATTGACGTTATCTATACTTGTTATGTCTGCCTAATTTTATATCGATTCTTATGACTTGGTTACATAACCATTCTAAGTAAGCATTCATGAATTTATATAGCTTGCTGGTTCATTGCAAATTGCATACGCATGCTTAGCTCATGAATAATGTTTTAAGTCATAGAAATATATTTTATGTCATGATTATCCGATAGCAATCGAAATGATTTTAAAGGAAAAGATTTTCATGAGTTTGAGGTTTTGAGGAAAGGACTTCGTGGATTTTTCATACGGTGATGGTAATGGTTCGGGGCCGGGCAAGTGTAGACGTGCACTTTTAGAGGCTCGGTGGGGCGCGTACGTGGACGGGTGCAGTTCGTCGGACATATGTGATGGAAACCCCGAAGTGCCTAAATGGGACATGTCCAAAGACAAAAAAGGATTTTCGATCGTTTATGAAATGTTTTATGACATAAGGAAAAAGAATTTATTATGCACATCGGTGTTTTATGCATACATACACATATACGTACACTACATGCATACGTTAACCGACTAGGTCGTAGCTCATACGAGTTCCTTGTGGTGTAGATAAATAAGATACTACGACTCACTTTTTTACGAAGTTGACTACCGAGGGAGACATCGGACGCATGTAGCTTGGATGAAGGTTTGGCTTCGGGTAGACCCATTACACGAGTAGTTGACACGGAATCGATCATGTATGTAAATAGTTAAGGTGTGTAATCAAATTAGTAATAATAACTAATAATAGCTTAGTAGTAGTATAATTACTTTAAATTATCCACTC